CGGTTGGGGGCGTGAGAGCACCGGGGGTTAGTCGTGCACGGAGCACGGCGAGCGTTTCGCGTCTTTGTGTCGGGCACAAAAGCGGCGATTAAGCGCTTCCACGTGAGCCAGGAGCTGAACTTCCACCCTCCTTTGTTTTACTGCCTTTCTCTGTCTAAACCTGCGTCTCCATCAACAACAAAACCGTTTCCTGTCTGAGCGAGACGCTCAAGGGCAAAAGAAGAATTAAAGGCAGAAGATTTCTGTGTCTGATACCATTTCCAGACTATTTTTTGGAGGAATAAAAGTTCATTTGTAAAGTATGTGGATACACTTATAGTTAAACTAAAAAGATTTGACTGAAACTTCAAGATTTCAATGCACTGTTTTTGTTTTGAATAATTTTTCTGTCCAATTACACATTTAAATGTTTTTTCTTTTTAAAAATTAATCTTTTCAAAGGCAAACAAATTTGGCTTGGATTTTTTTCACTTGTTGCATAAACACACACGTTTCGTTTTCTGTTATATGTTAAATTTTCAACCGAGACAATTCAAAATGTGCATTTAGGAGGGCTGATGGAGATTAAATCTTAAACTTTCGCTCCCTCACACTCATTGAAAGGCCCTTTGTGACTGTGTTGGTGATAAACTCTGATCCCTGGTGTCTGACCATCCTCTGCATTCGGTCAAACTCCTATCGGGCACATTTTTCTAAGGAAACCCCACCGAGTCCAGCTTTCTCCAGACAGCTATCAGCTGGAAAACATCCTCTCCCACTTTCTCTCCACCTCTGCGTGGCTCAGAGAGGAGGCGTCAGAAGTACGGGCTCCCACTGCTAACCGCTGCTACCCAGTCCACCATCACTCCATTTACCCCCCCCCTCCCTGCTTCCTCTCCCAGAGCCCGGCCAGTGAGAGGCTCCGGTTACCGCGGCTACGCTCATTTTTCCATTATGAGTTCATCTGCCTGCAGAAGAAAGGAAGCCGCCGGTGCAACCTGAAACCCCGGAGCGCTCCACCAGGGACTCTAGTCTTTCCAGTGCCCTCCATTTTCTCAATGAAATTCCTCTGACGGAGAGAGAGAGAGAGGAGGAGGGGGGGGGGGGGGGGGGGGATGGGGGTCGAGGTAGAGAAAAAAGTTTTTCTTTTTCACTGCAGAGTGTCCCCGGGCTGAAAGGAGGAGTTAGGGGCTGAGAGAGAGAGAGAGAGAGTCTGGATACAGTGAAAACATTTGTTTGTCTTTTTTGGACATTTTGTTCTTGGGTCTGAAATGCTGACTTTGGAGTTTTTTGGTGTTTCTCTTTTGAAAAAAAATCTGAGTTACACATTCAGTTCACAGGTACAAACCTAAATCCTGTGAAAAAGAATGATTTTGTGGGAATTTCCCAACTATTCTGTGTCTTTGATGCAGCTGAAACATAAAAAAATCTGCAGGCTAACCGTGCATTAGCTCTGAGAGCCGAAAGCTTGATGTGAATCAGTTCTTTTTATTACCTGGCACCGATGGATTTTATTTAACAGGAAAAAACGGACACCAGTTCATTCGATGCATCTAAAATGGATCATTTGTTTGTTTATCTCCCCTCGATTTTTCAGTTTTTTGGCAGTGTGTTCCTGGAATACCTCTATTTAATGCATTCAGCGTTGAAAGCATTCTAAAATGCAATAACACTGTACATTTGCACAACAAAGCGGACAAATTCAGACTCGTAAAACGCTGCACTGTGGGGGTGTTTGTGCAAAAAAAAAAAAAGGGGGATGACTAAAAGAAAAAAAGAAACCAAAAGTAAGGATGACAGAGGGTCATGTGAGGGTGAATTAATGCAAACAAAGGGAAAAGAGGCCAACCGGTGCATCACATTTCGGCTAAAGTCCAATAGGTGGGTTTCTAAGCAGGTGGGAGCTCGCAGCCGTGCTCAGATCTGCTGCACACAATTCCACCCCGATGTGTTTTTAACCATAAATCATTCAACCAATCGCATTAGCACTAGGACGAAGAAGATGAGGAGTTTAGGTTTAAGTTTGGGTTTGAGGGCTAACGATCTGAGGCAGATTCAGCTCTCTTCGGGGCTCACCGGGTTCGTAGCTGTAGTCCGTGGGCTCCTGCTTGACCATCATGTGTGCGGGTGGGAACCGGTGCGGGTGCGGGCGGGGCTGGGGGGCGTGGCCCTGGCCGTGGGCGTGGCCCGGGCCCGGCATGTGGGCGGCGGCCCGCTCGTACAGGGGGTCCGGGTACTCCTGCTTGAAGCTCTGCTGCAGGTAGGGCGCGCAGGGGTCCGAGTGCTGCCGGTGGTACCCTCCTCCCCCCCCCCCCCCCCCACCGCCCGGGCCCGCCCCGCCCCCCCCACCGCCGCCGCCGTGTCCGGCCGGGGCCGACGGCATGCGCTGGAAGGCCTGGGGGGGGAACTGGGGACCCATGGGGTCCCCCGAAGGGCCCTGAAACCTGGAGGGGAGACAGGAACTTTTGGTCAGAACACTCTCTCAGTGAGAGCCGCTAACATCTGGAACAGTCTTCCTCTGCACATACGGGAGAGCCCCACACTGACCAGCTTTAGAGATCAACGTAAACTTTGGATGAAAGCAAGCCAGTCATGTGACCACTAAAACCTAAACTTTTAATTGTGATGCTCATATTGTTTATTATATGTTATTTTTTATGCCTTTGCCTGCCTAGGGACTACGGATGAAAATTAGCTTTGTAGCTACAATCCGGCATATTTACATTTGTTTTTCACTGATGTTCATTAATGTGCTTTGTCACTATTCAAATAAATAACTAAATAAATAACTAAATAAATAAATAAATAAATAAATAAATAAATAAGGGGAGACAGGAAAAGCTGCCGGTCAGCTCACAGGGGAGAAGCAGTCTGGGGGGGGGGGGGGCGGCCCTCACCTGGGGCTGATGTGGTAGCTGTTGCTGGGGAGGGGCTGGGAGGCGGCGGCCGGGGTCAGGTAGCCGGCGTCCGGCCGGCCGGCGGCGGCGGGCTTCGGGGAGTAATGCTGCTGCATGGGAGACATGGGGGTCCCCGGGCAGGAGCTCTTGGCTCCCCCCCCCCGCAGCCCTTTTCTGCTCATAGGCACTGGAAACAAAAACACACACACGCATCACAACGGGATACAACAGGGCCTCCAGTTGGGTCAGAAGTCAATAAAACAAACAGTTAATGTGAGCCCGGTCAATAAAGTTCAATCACGCATGACCGGTGCTGGGTCAGGGCCCAAGGATGACCGAAGGGGACAGTACAGTAAAAGTTTCATCTGCTCTGAAATCTGTGTGCAGGGCCACTGAAATGTCCACTTTATAGGTCATTTCTGCACATATCAGTTATGATAAAAAATTTTGAAAAATGTCACAAATGTAATAAAGTCTTATTATGTTGTCCAATAACACTCTAAGGTTGAATTTTTAAATTTTAAAGTATTTAATTGAGTGCCCTATAAAGGGACTTTAAATGTACAGGAAGTCATAGGAATCGTAATTATCAGTTTAAGTGCCCAAACAGGAGCGTCACAGACTATTTAAAACACGTCTTCCTGCTCCCGGTTGTTCGGGATAAATGGCGTCACTGTGGGCATTTTCAGTGGAAACACTGAGGAAATACTTCCCCCGAAAACTGCTGGCCGGGTGCTTTCAGGAAAACCTCAAATAAGCAGGAGCATAACTGAAGTGAGAAAAAAAAAAAAGAGACTAAAGTTTCAACTGCGTGAAAACGGAAGCAGAAATCCAAAACTTTGGCATTTAAAACAGAGGACATGTGCTAAATACTCCTGAATAAAGTCGGCCCGAGTGTTTTATTTAATTTAATTAATTTATTTATTTGAATTGGGGCAAAGCACATTAATGAACATCAGTCAAAAACAAATGTAAATATGCCGGATTATAGCTACAAAGCTAATTTTCATCCGTAGTCCCTAGGGAGGCAAATGCATAAAAAAAGAACATCCTTTTTGATCTGTTATGAGGGATGCTGTGTGTGTTGGGGGGGGGTTGGGGGGGTACCTGGCGTAAAGGCACTGCTCTCCACTGGGGTAGCTGAAGCTCTGTTTGTGGCTACAGGACTGGCTGGGGTCGGAGCCGGGGCTCTGCGGCTCCTTTTTGATGGTCACCGGGGGGCTGTGGAACGCCACCGCTGAAACACACCAGGCCACAGGAAACAAACATTAACAAATATTCTCTTTTTCTCTTTTTTCCCCCCCCCCACCATTCGGCCCCTCCCAGATTCCACCGGCGGCCGGCCTGAGGGCAGAAGCGGAGTCTTCTGTCTGCACAGGGCTGGCTTTTACCTGCCCTGGTGACAGACACGTACACACACACACACTAACACACACACGCATGCTCACACACGACTGCATTCCGGGAGCCGTTCGGAAGCCCGAACAGTGTCCTCGCCCTCTTTTTTTTGGCCCTTCCAGACACAACAGCAGCCCGGACGGCCTCGGAGCTGAACAAACGCCAGGTACCCCCCCCAGGGGGACGCCATCGGCCCCACGGAGGTTCCCATGGCAACACACACAGCTTCTCAGTCTCTTTTCCTGCCGTCCAGATGTTGGCCGTCATTCACACACTGTGTTTTCTTTGCATTAAAAGGAGGTCAAAATCTGTGAGGAGATCACGGCTCCCAAAAAAAGGCTTTTTTTTCCCCCTTTGCATCCACTTAATCTTTAACACGCTCAGCTGTCCGTCAAGCTGAGGAGACCTTTGTCTGGACGCCCGCGGAAAACCACCCAAAAGTGGAGCTTCAGAGCTGTGCCGAGGGCCCGGTGTTTATTATGCGAGGGGAAGGTTTTCACCCGGAGAGCTGTACAGGATGTTTTTCTGGTCCCGGCAGGGTAAACAGCAGCAGCTGTGCACTTCCAGCTGGGGAGAACTGCCTCAGTGTGTGTGTGTGTGTGTGTGTGTGCGTGTGTGTGTGCACGTGTGCGTCTGCCGCACTGAAAGCTCGGTCCAGGTAATTACACAGCTGGGTCGTCCATTCACAAAAAAAAAAGAGGAGGGAATAAAAAAATAAAAAAAACTGAACTGAATAAAACCCAAAATGGCTGCGGGGGCCAAAGGCAGAAATGGAAGAAAAAATAACCCAACAACAACAAAAAAAAAACAATGAAGATTATACACGCAACCCTGAAATCTGACTAAAAAATAATCCAACCGCTAAACTGTGAAGCCTTTAATTTATTTATTCAGAGCTTTGGACATACAGGAGATGTTAAAGAGTTAATTGGCTGTTTAACACCAGGTTGGAAAGCATCAGAACTCCCTCATTCTGGGGAAAGATTTTGCTTTCCGGGGGCTTTTCTCGCCCTTCCCCGTTTGGGGGGATCCCCCGAGCCCCTGTTCCACCCCCCCAGGGGGGGGGGGGGGGGGGGCGGGGGGGCGGGCAGGTGAGGAAGCGTGGGCTTTAGCTGAGGATCAGTGGGATTGGCCGGCGTTTATCCGGATTTTCCCAAACAGGCGCGATGGGAATTCCGGTCTCCTCCGAGTCTCCGACAGCCCCGCTCTTTAATAAAAACCGGTTTGTCTGTTGACATTCCCCTCGTTCTCAGACGGGCTCAC